CTTCCTTAGAAAAACAGGGAGAAACAGAAAGTCCATTGCTTACATCTGGCTCATGGTCCTTGGTTTGCTCTAGAGGGCCCTGTATTCCGTGCGAGTCCTCAGGTCATTTCCCCGGGCGAGAGGCAATGACTACAGAATCAATACCTTTGTATGGTGCGACAAACCCAATTTAAAAGAACAACTAAGCAGCAACACGATCAACGCTCAACGGATATCTTTTAATGTTATTTTTTTGTGTTCATACTGGAATTACTAATTACCTGATTACCTTTAATAATTCTATTCAGTTTCAAAACAACGAAAATACACGTAACTTAAATACAAGATCACCTTAAAAAGGACATAGTTGTAATGACCAACACTTTCTCCGTAAAATACATTTGAGCAGAGATTTGGAACAGTTCGGCGAGAAAATTTTACAAACAAAAAAATCGTTTTAATTTGTTAAATTATAATTAACTTATATAATTATAAGTAATTATGTCAAGTCTTTGGTGCAACACAGGTGTAAATATTTTAAGTATATATTAGATTCCACTGAAGCTCTTCTTGTCTGGAAGAAAACACGAAGAGCTTGTTCATGTAAATAGAGAAAAAGAAACTACCTTGTCAACAAGAAATAGCCCAGGTCTTTCTGGAACTATAGGGGACACATCACGTAGGGTGGCTATAAGAAACTTGAACATTAGGCCTTCGTTGCATGGGCTAGGCGAGAGAAGATGTGACTCTCTTGGTATCGGCTGTTATTTTCTTCCGGTGCTTTGCAAAAACGTGTAGGGTTGACTAATCTTGCGCGAATATGGATCCTTGTGGCCTTAGAAAACAACCTACATCTCGCGACGCCACTGGTGATTTCCCAGCGAAATGTCGTCTGAGAAACGAGCGCAGAGGTTCAATACTAAGAACGTATCACTACTCAGATCTGGTTAGTGCTTCTGATTGGATGAAGCAAATTTCCAACCAATCAGTCATCAGCATTGAATTTCTGCAGTCCTTCTTCAGAAGTCATTTCAAGGGTGAAACCACCCGTGATGTTGCGTAATATCGAATGTTTTCTAAGGCTACAATCATGGACAAAATTCTTGGGACACTTGCATTTCTGGAGCGTTTTCCAATTCACACATGCCCAACCCCTTCCCTCACCCCACAAACAACGTTTTACGCGAGTATCCACAATTTTTCCAAGTTTCAACTCTGTTTAGTAAGAAAGAACTGCTAGAAAATTCCGAAAAGGATGCACTTTTTTATGAGGGAACCCAGAAACTGCCGAAAGTTAGGAGTACTGTATTACTGTCCCAAGGACTTTAGTCCATGATTTTAGGATCGAAGACGATTGTGATCAGTTAAAAAGACAGTATTTACATGAATGAGCAACTCTCAGGAATTAAAATGTTAACAGAATAGTTCATCTGGGTACCAGTAGACTTAATTATTAGGTTCACAAAATTAAATTAAAAAGCTTACGAAACAACATGTTAAGACGTCTCTAAAAGGACAGTTCATCTCAGTGGCGGGCACCAGTGGACAAAATAAGGTTCACAAGATTAAATTAAAAGACTGATAGAAAAACATGTTTTAACATATAAAAGACGTTACTATTGGATATTTTATCTGAACACCAGTGGACTTAAAGAGGTTCAAAGGATTAAATTTGCTTTTTTAACGCAATGAGTGAAGTTTCTGAGAATATGACGTCGTTAGACTGAGGCAGTCTCTCTTTTTTTTAGTACGTCGAGCGAAACGCGCGAGAGACGAAAATGACCACGCGGCCGCGTGACTGAGGGTTCGAGGTGGGAGAGGCGAGAGCTTTTAATTTGCCGCTCGTCATCGACGCTCGCGCGCGTGTGCACTCCCATCACTAAATCTGAAGAAGAGGAGAGACTGTTCGCAGTCTATGAGGTCGTCGTCGGAAGTATACTAGCCTAGCTAAAGTTCGGCCATAAATGTGACAGAATCCTAACAGAAAATGAATAAAAAAGAGAGGATAGCTAGAAAGTGAAGTCGAACTACTTCTTAGTCCTAATGACAATCTCTTTATTAACTCAAGTAGTTTAAGGCCTGGGACTAAGGGATTTACCGGTGGAGAATGAATTAATGGCTATAACTTTGGCATAGATGATGGCGATAAATCAAAATTTGGCACACATAAAGAACTCATCGTCCTTAATATTTTAAAGTATAAATAGTGTGTTAACAAGTCACGTGATTTGTCACGTGACCATTTAGCTAAAAATCGTAGATTATTGACCAATTAGTGGCCGGTTTAAGAAAAGAAATCCAGCAATAACATTTTTCTAATTCATATTGAAATCAATATTTTAAGACTTCAAGTTTGGAAAAGTCTTAGAATGACCGTCCATTGCACTTCAATAAAAAAAACTATGAGAAAGAACATCATTTTCAATGTCTAAATTTAATCTTGAATTATTTAAAACTTTAAAACTCTAGGTAAGTCTATCCTCTTTTAGAAATGTCAATTTCAGACGTTTATCCTTACAAAGTAAATTCGCGACCAATTTGCCAATTTCCTTCATTTTCAACTTTTGGTGTCAC